TCAATAAGGTGGCAAAACCACAGCAGAACACAGACAAAGTGAGCACAGTGCTGTTTGCTAGGAAAAGTCTCACCATTTCATGCCATGCTTTGCTTTTTCTCTTCTTGACAGCTTGTGATTTATAGAAATGCTTTGTCTCTTAGCAGTGATTCCTGATCTTCTTTGATCTGTGTGTGCTGAAATATTAGCATCCGGGCAGCAATTCTTGTATGACAAGTGCTGCTTTGGACACTATGATCACTGTAAGAAGCAGAGAGAGGGTCTCTTTTGTGGGCTGCTGCTTTGGTCCAGTATGCAGGAGATTATCCTCTTGCTGATGCAGGCTGGCAGCTCTAGCAGAAGTGAATTCTGAGATGGGATTTGTAAAACAAGTGCATAAATACTTTGAAGCCACAGCAAAATGGGCAACAGAGCTGCTTATTCTGTCCTTTGCCAAATGGAAGATGTGCCTCTACTTTTCTTCTGACTCCATGCAAACTGTGCTTGGGTATTACCCTTTTTCTGCCCCTCAAGAAGAAAAATTCACATGTGAATCAATTTAGAGAAAGGGCATCACAGTGATGACAGCTGGGCTCATAACAGCCACGTACAGTGGGATGAATGCACCTTCCCCTGGACTGGCTGGCTCTGTGTCTCCCCACCTTGGCACCTGCCACACGGGGAGCCTGCAGCTGAGCTGAGGAGTATGAAGCAGAAAGGGAATACCAGGCATAAGAGATTGCCCTGGGCTTTGCATTGGGAGAGATACGTTTAGATTATGTCAGCACTGAATGCCCTATCTTTATTTATCTTACCATAAAAGCATACCTGAAATGCTGATACAGAGGGCTTGTAAAGTGCTGAGCCTGTGATTTTAGGGAGATGGAAAGAGAGAAAGTTACAACATCCTCCGTGCTTTGTGACTTGCTATCCTTCTCCACAGTTGTCAGGATGCCTTGATCCATGGGAGGTATTGAAATTCAGTAGAATTTCATAAAGGAAATTTCCATAAAGGAAAGAATTTCCATAAAGGAAAATGTAACTCTCTTGTTCCCCAGTTGCCTTCTCCACCCTCTGCTTGTATCAACAGATGTTTGCCACACATCTGTTTTCTCTGCAGAGAAGACACCAGTCAGCAAGTGAATGTGGAGGCAATGGTCGCTAAGGCTTGAAAAGCACCCACGGCAGTTGCCTCACAGTGCCACATTACACCTGCCCTCGGTTCTAGCTGCCTTTGCCCAGTATGCAGCAGAGCCCTGGGGACATGGCTGCTGGGCACAAATACAGCCCAAGTGCTTCTACAAAAGCCTTCCTGGATATCAAAACACTGAAATCCACCATTCTTATCTCAGGTCTTGGTGAAGGTGATTATGGTTAATCAGGGCTGCAGTCAGATCTCTTTATTTTAGCAAGTAGCTCCCTCCACCTGTGATGCTTTTCAGGCTCAGCCCCCACATCCAGCCCAGCGATGCCTGCAAACAGCTCTGCAAGGCCCTCGGGAGCTGGGGAAGGTGGGGAACACCAAGCCAAGCTCCCCATACCCTCACGCAACAATGGAAACATGCTGGGACCACAAAGCAGAACAGGTCTCTGGACCAAGAACAAGATCCTTGGCTAAGGGAGACCATAGACTCTTCCACTTGGACATGGACATCCCCTTCAGGCAGCCTTACCCAACCCTTGCCATCACACATATTAGCCTTGAGCTGCTCAGTCCTCCCTCTATTTTGGCAATACCCAGGCTAACAACCTTCAAACTGGCTCTGCCAAGAAGAGTGCGGGTGCAGGCTGGGAGCGCTCAGCTTTCGCCCAGCAGAGGCCAGCACGCACGCAGTGTTTCGGCAGGCTGTGCTCGCAGAGGAGCTGTCTCCCTCCCTGACTGGCATTCCCCGGCTGGGAAAGAGTCTCTCAGCCTCCTGTGAGCCCTCATCTGTGTACTGCTTGGAGAGAGGTTTTCAGTGAGGGACGTGGAGTGCAATAGACAGGCGCTGACATCCTGCTGGGGTAGGGACAGGCTGCCACAGGACCAGCCATCACCCGGTTTATCCAGTTGTGTTCCCAGAAGCATCCCCTTCCCTTGGAATAGCCAGCACGACAGTGGTCCTGGAGGCTGGGCATGGCCAGGTAACACAGCACTTGAGAAATGCCAGACGCCATAGAAATTAATGTCGAAAGGAATTGCACTGCTGGTAGGAGCAGACAATCGGGGATAATTGCCCTGGCCACCTCCCTGCCCTTTGCTCCTCTTTTAGGCTCATTTACAGTTCATTTGAGGACAGCGAGGGCCACACCGAAGAAAAGGCACTTGGCTACTTCGAAATCTAAAAGTTGCGTAAAGAGTGAAGAGTAGAGGCCCGGAACCCAGGAAAAAGAAGCAAGAGACAGCACCAGTACAGAAGTGAAAGAATCTCCTCACACAGCCTAAATAAGCAGCTTGTGCAGCTCTGCAAATAGCCTCAGGAAAAGATCTTTTTCTGGTCTTTTTCAGCCACTGGTTGAAAGGGCTGATGGCTCTGAAAGGATATGTTGTCCCATGCTGCTTGGATGATAAGGACGTTCCCCCAGGAGAACTATTCTTCATAACAAAGAGAGACTGCCTCTGAGATACCTCACAATCACTATAAGCAAACAGAAGTCAAAACAGGCTTGAACTGTGCAGATCATCTTCTGTGATCAGGTTTTTGAGGGCAAGACTGGGGCAAAGACAAGTCAGATTGGAAGACGTCTCCTTGCACCAGCAGAACACCCAGTGTTTGGCCAAAACGGCTGAGCATAGTGCTGCTAGGAGGCCTTCCAGCTCACAGCCAGCCATGCAGAGGAGAGACAGCTTAACTGATGATGCCAAGAATATTGTTTAGGTTTTGGAGAGGATGTTGTTGCAAACCTGTCTTCCAGTCTCACCGCTTACCGCTTATTTTCGTTCTGAGTTGCAGTAATAAGTCTGAGACGTTACCAGTGAGTAGTCTAGCAATTCTGTGGTCATTATGTGAACCCCACCCAGCATGAAGGATCTCAGACCTCGACAGCTCTGCAGCAAAAATATTGGCTTCATATCTGGATGGGCATAGTTGACATATACATCAGTGTAGGACCTTCTCCACCTGCAGTTAAAACCAAGCTTAGCATTTTATAGCCGTGAGAAAACACAAAGGGCACAGCAAGGTTGGAGATCTCTTGTTCTAGGTGACACTGTGTTGTCAGTGCAAGCTTTGCTAGGGCTCTGTTGCATCCTTCAGTGAGGAGCATGAGCCTGCAGTTCCCTCCACAGCAAACTCCAAGCTTTTTTCTCTGACTGTAACCCAGAAAACATGGAAGCATCAGAGCCCTGAGGAACAGCAAGTGAAAAATCCAGGAGAAAATCTACCACAAGCTGAAGGAGCAGAAGCAGAGCCTGTAAAAAAGTCCTCTAGATCTGGGGTCTGTTGTCTCTCTCAGGCTTGAAAGGACAAATCCCAGAGAAAAGCAAGGGCCTGTGTAGCCTGAGTGACTCAAAGCATGGCCTGTGCAAGGATCGGCAGCTCTGTTTGTTGAATCAATGGATGGAGTGAAGCCTGTTGGTGTGAGATCTAGCACAGAGGGGTGGTGTAAGACACTATGAAATTGTTCTTGTAGATGTATTCTGCATGTCCTGTATGCAGAAACCGAGCTGCCTGGAATAACCACCATCCTTCCCTATGTGTGCACATCTCCCTGGGGGCAAGGGGCAGACCTGCACAAACAGGGAGGGCCAGTGCAATTGCCCATTGCCTCAGCACTGCTTTTGTAGGGTGGTGACACCCATGCCCGTGCCCACGTGCTGACACTAAGTGTCTCTGACCACGGTGCTTCCCATGCTGGGCCCAGAAACTGGAGGCAGAAGGTTCACAAGCCCCTGAACAGACCATGGAATGAGAAATCACAGTGCTACCTGTGCATCTCCTGAGGGCAGCTTGCTGAGGCATGGCAGTATTTGGTTATCCTCCTGCTAGTGCAAACCAGAGAGAAAATGCGTGCAGCACAGCACATTACAGACTTATCCAAACGCTCTTGTGGGCTACAATGATGGGCCAAACCCCATGAAATATGCTGCTTCCCTGTGCCTGAAAGAAGGATATCTACAAATTGAATCTATTTATCTCATTTAAAAGCCTGTGTCAACAGCACTACTTGCAGCTGATGTTCCTTGAAGATGGCAGCAGTCCTGAGCCACCATTAGCAACAAGACCTGCAGCAGCAGGTGGGCTTCAGCTTTGTGTATAGAGTGGGGGTGGTAGGTGACTACTGGCTGGTGGCGTATAAGGTGTAGAGACCATCTGTATGGACCAGCTTGTGTTTCCAGTAGATCACGCCCAGCAGTACCAACCTAATCTTCTCTGACCTTTCAGGTTTCATCTGTTTCAATGCATGAGGTAGTGCAGTAGTCTTTTGTGGAGCTGTGACTGGTGGGCAAGGGGAAACAGCATAGGCTACAGCTACCTACCTTAGCAGGGTGCCTTGAAGCAAGAGTCCTGCTAGGTCCTGCTTCTCCTGTGCACTCCAGCACAGCATCACCACTTCCCTCCATGCCTCAAGGCTCCACCAGCCCACCAAGAGCTGCATGTGAGCTACCATGATATGGCAGTGCACCTCCACACATGCAAGGGGAACATGTGGAGGTACAGCCATTAGTAGCAGGGAGCCAAGAGGGTCAGCAGGGAAGAGACCTGTGATGTTACATGGCACATCAGATTCATTAGCCAAGTCCAGCCCTGCAGCAAGGAGGGACCCATCCTCCCCAGGGACCCCATCACCTCACAAACCATTGCTCCTCAGCCTGCCTAGCCTATGCACACAGGCCCCCATTCTAAATGTGAGGCTGCAGTTGCTGGCCCTGGATTAGACCTCTGCATATGCAGGGCTGTTTCTTGGACTCCTAGCTCTCCCTGTCCTGCCGCCTGTGTCTTCACTGTATCATGCCAGGATTCACTCAGACCTTATTTTGGAAACAAAGAGTTAAGAATTTTCAATCTTTATTTTACAAAAATAAACCAGTTTTTCCCTGATACTCTGTGGCCCCCAACCTCCTCCACCCCTGCTCCCATTCCTCTTCCTGTAGCTCCAGCTGTTGCATGTCACGTCCAGCCACTCTTATGGAGGCTGTCAGTGCTGCACGCTCTTGTGAGTGTGCCCAAACAAGCACCAGAGAAGGGAGTTGGTGCCCTTTTGTGACTGCCTTCTCTTCTCAGGATCCAAGCTGGAAACTGTCCAAAGATGCTTTGTGGTGGCTTTGCCATTTCTGCACAGGAAGTAAGTCTTAGGCAAGTCACTCAGAGTACACACTTTAGAAGGAATGTCCACTCGTCCAATTCCTTCCCTTGGATGGAAAAGCGAGCCCCAAGAAGTTACTTCTTGACATCAGTGGAGCTGGCAGGCTGTCGTCCTACTTCCAGCTCAGTGCTGGAAGCGTGGGGAGCTAATGTGGGGCTGGTGAAAGGAGTGTGTGGCGTAAAGCACTTCTGGAGGCGGTGGAGGGGATGTCAGGATGGAGCAGAGTGGTTCATGGGAGCTCAGCATCGAGGTGAAGTGCTTCATCTCCTCTGTCAGCTGCTTGATCTCCCGGCGCAGGGCAGCATTCTGCCTCTCCAAGTCTTCACTCTCCTGAGGACACAAAACCACAGGGGCTTCCTCAGTGTGGGAGCTGCAGGGATGAGCTAGGGACATGGGGGTTGTGGTCCTGTGCCTCTCTGCCCCACAGAATTTCCAGAATGACATATTTCTGGTAAATTCGTCACAGAGCCCCGCCTGGGCAAACCCTCCTCCCCCAGCTGGCCAGGCAGGGTGCGAGTGCGATGCTGGCGGGCCCCAGACACGCTCCCCAGTGCCGGCTTACGAGAAGTGACTGTGGCTTGCTCCCGCCCAGGCTTTCTCGCTCCCTCTCATGCACACGCACATCTCGGGGTGCTTCCCGGGCAGCCCAGCCCCCGGGGGAGAGCAAGCTGAATAACCGCCGTCTTTAACCAGAAAACCACCTGTCACAGGAAACCTGTCATTGCCCTGGAAAGAAGAGACTCACTGCTTCCTGCTAGCAGCCGGGGAAAGCAGTGGCACGGTGAGGAGGAGGGGAAGACACTTGAGTCAGAAGAAAAGAGAAACTGAGGCCTCAGAAGAACTGAATTAATACTGTTATTAATGAAATAACAACAGAGGGGTTAATAAAGATGCTCAGCCTCATCTCAACGATACTGAGAGCATCGAAGCCTTTGCTACCTCGCCTTGAGAAGTTCAGCCAGCTCCAGGTTGGAGCATCGCAGGCACCAACTGACCATGGAGCCAGCAGCCTGGGCAGGACCAGAGGAGGGAGGGAGGATGCAGCAGTAGGCTTTGCAATCTCAGCTGAGACAGCTAAAGCGGGACTCAGCACTTTGAGGCCCTGGAAAGCTGCACCACCACCTTGGCAAAGTGAACATGTCATCCCCCTGCTCACCCCTCCGCTGCCATGCTGACTTCTGATGGCACTTGCTCTCTGCGCACAGGTGAGACACACCTACCAGTTACAGCTGCTGTCACTGCAGGAGCTCACACAGCATCTCAGGGACATGACCAAATGCTTTGGAAATCATGACTGCTATGGAACTCAGGAACTGATGGGAATCACCCAGGGGCTGGGAGCTCCAGCCTCCCCATGACTCATTCCTCTCAAAACACAAACTACAAAACTCTGGGGCAGATGCAGCTGCTGGCTCCTTTCATACTACCATAGCTTAAGCTGAGCCATGCTCTTCTGGGCAGAACCACATCAAAGAACCAAAGTCCCTGATTCAGAATCAACCAAAGGCAAAGAGCACTCAGGGAATAAACCCAGGAGCAAGCAGGCGTTCAATATCCACCAGGAAATGGAAAAAAAACTAGCAGAAACTCACCATCCATCCTCTACTTGCTTCTCTGCATTTTTACATCTGTCTGTCAGGATCCAGGACTTAGCTCTGCTGCTCCCATCCCCATGGGAAGGCAAGGACTGTGTGCTATCAATGCCAGCTGAGCAATAGTAATCTCATATGCAAATGGTTTGTTATCTGCTCTACGAAAAGCAGTCCAATTCTCAGTGCACAGCTAGGCGGGATTTTCCTGGGGAAGGAACAGAGCCCATATCTACCTCTAGGATTACTTTGGAGAGAGCACTGGCCCCAAGGAAAGGGTGTTTCTTCACTCCTCTCAGGCACAGTCACCCAGAGCCACTGCTGCTGGCAGATGTAATGGAACCAGCCTAGAGCCATGTCAGCTCTAGAACGATCATCACTTACTGAGAAAAGAGTGAAATCTCTGCCTTAAACCCAACTCCAACCATGCAATGAGGCTACTATGTCAGGAGGAAGGTTCAGGACTGAATTCTCAAGAATTATTCCCAAAAATTGGGATATGGGAGAATATGAAAATCGCTAAGTCAAAGGATGGTTTTTTGAACATGAGCTCAACTACCACTTTTCAAATGACAGCCAAGCCAGTGCAGGGATAAAGATGGTCTCTGTCCACTGCAGGTTGTGTGTTCTTCATCCTGCCTGCCAGTAATCCAAAACATATGGGATTGCACTTATCACCGTGCAAAATTCAAAGGATCCCAGCCCCTGCGCTCTGACACTGACCATATACTCCTGCCCAAACGCACACAGCCAGAAGTGGCCATCCCTTCTGAAAAGCAGACATCTAATTCTTCATACCGAGAAGAGCTGCAAGGGTGCCCACAGTGCCACAGAAAAGCATCCTTGTATGCTGTTGTATCTCTGCATAAATGATGGCATGAATCACAAACCCAGGGAAATTCAGCCCGGGTGAGACTGTGCTTTCAAAGAGCTTCTGAGTGACTCAGTCAGAAGAGACTGGAAAAGGAAATCAATAATGAAAGACTGAGAGATAAAGATGGATTCAAAACTAGGTGCAAAACTAAATGCTTCAGTGGCAGTCGTCCTGGGCTGTGTGCTCTTGCTGTGAGTGCTAACTCCTACATCCTGCCCCGGCCTCAGTTCTCCTGTCCTGCCTCCACTGAGCATCTCCATGTCGAGTCCCAGGGGAAAAGCACATTGTGTCCTACGTGAGCCCTCAGTACTGAGGACAAAGAAGAGTGGGAGTGCTCACCAAGTGCAGTGTGTCTGCTTTCTGAGTCTGCCTCAGGCGGCTCTTCTGGGCAGCGATACGATTCTTCTCCCTCCTTTGGACTTTTCTCATGTCATCAGAAGAGTCCTAGGGAAACAAGCCATAGAAATAACTGGGGCATTCCCTCCCTCGCCCTTCTCCTGCAGGGCAGTAAGTGGGAAGGGGACACAGCAGATAACATGATTGAAGCACAGGACATGGGATACACACCCTCCATACCAGGATAAAGCCATAGCCCAGGGACATGATGCTTTTGGCACCCTCGTTGTCCAGGAGGGGCACATCTGATACCCTTAGGCATCCCAGTACTGCTGGGAAATGACAACTCTCCCTTCACCAACACCCAGGCCTGGGATATGGATTGATGGACCAGAGTAAGGACTTCCTTCTGGAAGAGAGACAGTTTGAATTCTTGTACAGAAAACCTTTCCCTTCCCTGTCTCTCTGCAGGGTAATGGCAATGTGGACATTTCAGATCCTTGGATAAACCATTTTTTCCAAATACACAGCCTGTGTTTTCCTCCTTTCACCCCTGTAGGTCCCTCCTCTCTCCATCACCCTTCTCCCTAAGGCATTATTTCTTGTGGACACTCCCAATGCAATGTGGCCCTTGCTTTGTTTGACTAGACAGACTTGGAGCTTTTGTTTTTAACCCAGATCTCATTTGCTTCAGCTCTCTGATCTCTGTGCTTGCTCTTTCCTGGATTCCCTTGGTAGCAATGCCTGCAATGCTGACTGCAACACTTCCTTTGGCAGGGGAGAACAGGTCTCCAGACTCCAGGTCATGAGCTTCACAGACCAGCCATTCTCTGCTGAGATCTGGTCCTTCTGCTGCCTTCTGACAGTTGAAACTGTCAAACAGTCTCTTTCATCTTCTATTTTCATATTGCACTGCCCCTTTTGTGGACTCTTTAACATTCACACCACCACTTCTCCACAAGACTACAAAAGTCAGCCACAAAAGTTATCTTCCCAGCCCATCAATCTGTCCACATCCTCTCCCCCCTCCCCCTGCCCAAGAATTTTTTTCTTTGAACCTAACCGTTTTTCCTTGCTTTCAAGACCCTGAAAATGTCTCAGATACAGCACCTCGCAGGTTCTTCATGAAGTCCAGTCCCTATCCTTTAGCAAACTCTGTGCTTTATCCCTTTCTCTACAAGGATGCCTCCTCATCCTTGGTTGCAAACAAAAAATCATCTGCCCTGATCATCCCCAAGATTTCTGAGCAAAGTCTCAGGTACTTGCCATTGTTGCCAGCCTTAGAGAAATGGCAAATGACAGATATAATAAAGCTTAGCCAGAAAAGGCAGTGGGAACATCTTAGATTTGTGTCAGTATCTGCCAGCAAAAGACCTGCATTAAAGTACGCCATGCAACAAAACAAAATCCCTCTCTCAAGCATTACTGAGATGAAAAATCTCTGAGGCTGAACAGAAGAGAAAGCAGACCCAAAGCGTCAGGGCCCTGAGCTGCCCCAGTTCATGGCCAGGAGGTGCCTGCTCAGGCTCCTTGCCAGAGCACCAACTCTCATGATGAAGCTTCCTGCCTGCCTGGCATGTGTTGCAGGATCCACCGTGCCTGGGGTCCTGGCCCCCCAGTTGCCCCTGGCATAGCCACAGGTAACCAGGTCTTCTCTCTCCTCCTTTACCCACCTCAGTGGCTGGGGCTGAGCCCTGGATCCCTCTCCCCACAGCCATTCTTAGAAAGCTCTGCCATATTGTGCTGTGAAAACACCAATGGTGGGTGCCACCCTACCTCCCACCCATCCATGGCCCACCCCAAAGGACTCTCCATCTGGGGAGACCTGGGGAAGGTCCCTGCTTTACCTGCTTGCTGGGAGGGGGAGACTGGCTGAAGCTGCTGGAATCACTGCTGTCGGAGCTGTGGGGCATGGCTCCTGGCTCTGGCTCCCAGGGTCTCTTCAGCTTCCTTTGTCCTCTTGGTATGCCTGCCTTCTGTCTTGCTTCTCTACCTCTCCCCGCCCTCCTCTGTCACCCCTGAGATGGCCCTTGGCTTCCCTGCTCTCACCCGTCCCAGAAGCACACTGTCCTCCTGCCCAACACTCCAACACTTTCGCTGCCTCTCCTCTCAGAGGCTCTGCACCTTCCCTTTAGGTCTCAGCCTCCTGTGGTTTCTCAGAACCTCGGGGATGTAAGCTGAAAGTCACGTGGCCGGAAACTTTAAGGCAAAGAAGAAAAGTTACAGAAGAAAAAAATTTAATAAAAAAGAAGAAGAAAAAAAGCACATCTGGGAAAAATGAGCTTCAAAATAGCCTGAAAAACCCCCGAAAAACACCTTCAGGCAGTTGAAAAACAACAAGATGGGTTTTCTCTGAGACAAACAGCAGAGATGGAAAGGAAGAAAAGCCCCAGCTCTGGCTGTGAAACTTGGACCCTCAAAGGAGGGCAGTGTGGAGGAGGTGCTGCTGGGAGCCCCAGAAATTCCGGGGGCACTGCGTGCCATGCCAGCCCTGTGCAGGCAGGGGGTCAGTCCAGGCCCAGGCAGCCTCGGTCACCCTAAGCCAGCTGGAGAAATTCCCAGGCAGCCACACACCTCCCCACAACTCACCGCCTCCTGCCATCCCCGACACCATTGACGTGGGTCCCGAGGAGGGGACGGGTACCCTCAGCAGGTGCCACATAAATGCTGTTTGTGCAGATGGCTCGCATGGGTACGATGAAGCACCAGTCCTATCTAAGAAGAAGGCTCAGGATCATAGAACATTTGGACTGGATTTGGTAGGGCTAGTATTTTCTATAAAGCAAAGCTATTTAGCACTTTAGAACATTCATCAGTATGTCACCACTAGCCCATAAGGGGAATATTAACCCTGGCAGACAAATCAAAGTGCCATAAATGTAAGGATCTATGGATTAGCCCATGCAGACAGCAGCAAGGAGAAATTGCTTTGCATCCCCTTGTTTGTCCCCTGGGCTGTGCTCTGTGGGACTACTTCCATCCTTAGCATGAGCCTCAGAAGACTGAAGACATGCAAGCAGCCCTTGGGACAGCAGTGCTTCAGTGCTAGTGGTTCTGGAGGTGACAATACAGGAGAAGGGAGTTCCAAAGCAGGGACCATTTATTTTCTCATCTGCTCATGTTATCAGATTCAGCAGGATGAACCAGGACCACACACCAACACAGACTCTCTACTTTCAGACAGGAGCACATATCTTTGGAGTGACTATGTTCTTGCATGCGCCGTAAGGAGCAGATACAGAAACAGGCATGAACCCATCAACAGTAACTCACTTCTGTGGAAAGCAGCAATTCCCAGTTCCTCCTTACTGGTTTTTGTTGCATATTGGTATTCTGTTTGAGTTTCTCCTGCCTAAAGGAGGAGCAGCTAGCAAGTCTCAGCAGCAGGGCATCAGCAAGGGCACTTGAGATGCAGTGGTCACTACAGCAAGAGTATTGGCAGCTTTGGGTTTGCAGCCATATTGCAGCACAGAAAGTGCACGTGCTTGGAACGCAGTGCAGACTTGCATGGGCATTGCTGGCATTTCTTCCCATCCTTGCCACTACTCATAGAGCCAACACATGGGCAAATGTGGGGCTGAAAAAGGACCACGTGGGGCTGGCTGCAGGCTGAGTGGCTTGGTGAAATTGTCTGGCTTAGCTCCAGTAGCAAAACTGCTCCATTTTGACCCATTTCCCTCTTTAGAAACATCCTGTGGCACTGGTGCTCTACCCTTGGCTCTACTATCTGAACATTTCACAGCCTTGAGTGTATTTTTTCTCCTGGTGTGCTGTAGAGAAATGTTAGGATCCACCACACTTTCTAACATAGCTACAAGGGTTTGCTTGCTTGGCATGAACCACCCTGAGGGACCTGATCTCCTGGCACTACAGCCCCCCTGTAGTAGGCAGGGCTCCTCTGGTGTGGCTGGCTCCAGGAATGGAGTAGCTGAAGGCATCGGTGAGATGAGGGGCATTGAGTTCAGGTTTCCCAAGGCACCAGATAGCAGCACAACTGTTGAAGGATCCATTCACTTGCTGCATTGCTACACTTCCTCTGAACTCTGCAACCCTGAGTGGCACTTCCTTTCCAGGAAGCACAGTGCTGGATTCCCACTCTCCTGAGGAAACCACACTCCTCTGCTGGTGAGTGGGTCTCAGAGACTGCCTGGCCCATCCTGCTCTGCATGCTGCTGTTACTCAGGGCAGGATGGAGGGAGCTCCTTCTCAGAGAAAAATATCCTTTTTCCATTATTGGGCAAATAAACTGAATTCCTTCCTTTTGTATCTAGCTAGGCCAGTATCTGAAGGAAGGCAATCAGGAAGGTGGTGGGTGTGTTGGCAGGAGGTGGTGCAGGGAAGCTGGGTGTCCTGGGAGGAGCTGGACAGTCTGTGCAAAAGTGTCCAGAACGTGTCTATGGCAAAGGCTATTCTTTGATCCACAGGAGGAAAGTTTTGAGCTGCACCTTGGTTTGCCCAGAGCTGGGCTTTTATTAACAACTCATGGAGACACCTCAGGAGAGAGCAACAGCAGGGGAGAGGGCTTGGACACTTGGTCTTGCTGAGTGGGACTAAGAGAACATCCCTTTTTCTGCCTTGCCCAAACACACTCCTTGCCCTCAAGCTGGCTATGATGCTAATGAATTCCTGTCACTTATAAGTGAATAAGTGTGCTGTGAGACAGTATCTCCTGGTGAGAAGATGGCAGAGCCTTCACAATGCTCCTCTGGGCTGGGCAGGACCCATGTTGTCTCCTCACAGGCAGTGCCCCATGCCATTCCTCTGGTCAGAGATGCAATCCCCCAACCCAGAGCAGCAGAAACGACCAGCATGGCTCCACCTGCTCACAGCTCTGTGGGAGCTGCCCTGGGCACCTGCTGCGGGCTGGGGAGCTGGTTTCCTGCTGCCCCTCCCCAGGCTCTCCCCTGCTATGAGGGGGAGCCTCAGAAGGCACTCTCCTAATCTTGGTGCTTGACACAGGTGACTAAATTTACAGTGAATAACATCCCCTGAGTTTCTCTCTGGGATCATTTAGGTTTCTTGATCTTGATCACAGCAGCAGTGAAATCACTGTCAGTGGCATTGGATGAACTTGCAAGTGTTAGGTTACTGCTGGACCAGCAGCTTGATGGAGAAGGGATAGTTCCAGAGAGTTTTAAAGGAAGTATGGGGCCATCCAGTCCTGCATTTGTCCCTTCTGAATAACAGCAGACTTAAGGGAGTCCTGTTCTTCCGGGACAGAGTGGCTGCAGGGACTCTGGAGGCTGGGCTTAATGTGATCTGAACTGCTGAAGAAATGGTTTGAAAGCAGCAAGATGCAGTTCAGCAAGAACAAATGCAAATATAAAGCAAAGCAAGATGTAGATAGAAGATCTGGGGAATAACCGACCAGGGCAGCAGAATAGCAGGGAAAAATCCGGGGACTGCAGAGCATTGAAAGCCAAAGCTTTGCCAGCAGCACAGAGGTGTCGCAAAGGAGCTGGGTACAGGTCTGGGGTGCTGGGACAAGGCAGAGGAGATCACTGCCCTGTTCTGCCTGTGCAAGGCCAGTACTCATTGAGAGTCCCAGGTCCAGAAGTGGAATAGTCCAGAAGAGAACAATACAAAGGATATATACATAGAACTATTGCGCTAAGAGAATGGAGTAAAGAAGTTGGGTCCATTTAGCCTAGAAAAGAGAAGTCTTGGGGGTGGGAAGTGGGTGGGGAGGAAGGAGCAGTCTTTCATATGTTGTAATGGAAAGGGTGGTCAATTGGTTTCTGTGCAGCCAGAGCAGGGTAAGAAGCAACAGGCTCCAACTGCAGCAGGAAAGGTGCAGATCTGAGGTTCAAAGCAAGACGAGCATAGGAAGACCTTGGGATGGGCAGTTCAGGAAAGTTATTCAAGCCTTCCATATGAAGTGGCTGGGAAAAAACCTCTATTGGAAAGGGTAGAGGTTGAATCCTGCCTCTGTAGGATGTTATGTTTCCAGGGTTTAAATAAGGAAAAAATGAAATTTAAAATAATTTAAAAAAGGGCTCCTCAGAGCCCAGAGAGCATGTGGGCCATTTCTCAGCCTTAGCTGCAGCCAGCACCTTTGCCTCTAAAGTCCATGTCCCCCTGTGTAACCAGCTTCCTCAGCACGGGTGGGTGCAGGAGTTTCCTTTCAAGCCCTCTTGCTTGCTGCAGGCTTATGACAGCAACATTCAAAACTGCATCTCACCCCATCCATCTCACTCATCTTGTTTGCACAACCATTCAGTGCGTAGTGCTATTTAAAAACCAAGGCTAAAGCAGCTACCAACTTCAGCCTCCTGTAAACCACTGAGGTTGTTTCTGCTTCGCATGTAGCATTTTATGCAAATAATTTCTTACAATATTTGGACAATTGCAGCAATTTCCTTATCATTCCCCACATGAGTTTGAAGACCTTTGTGTAGAAATCAGTGCTGATAAGAGATGTCAAGTGAATGTCTGTGTTGAACAAAGTCCCTTCTCTCTACCAGATACTTCTGCCATGTCCTGCTCTGTCAGCATGTATTGGTCCTGTCTGTGATGTGGGCAACTTCCCCAGTCTCAGTCACCAGGGCTATTTCATCCTGGCTGAGCTGAATGAGTGTGAGAGGGAGGTTGTGCCAGGAGAGCTCAAGCATAGTCCCAGCAAATTCATCCCACCCAACACAGAGCAAACGCCTATCACACCAACACTTTTAGTCCTTACTGGATGCAACCTGCCAATGTACAGGAAACAGGCACTTTACAATCTGAATGTCTGATAAATGACAAGTACCATAAATTAAGCACTCAAAAGTATGGAAATCCCAGAATTAACTCCCTTAAACACACTGTAATTACACCCTCACGCCAAGTAACCTGCTGTGCTCTGTAACTTCATGACCCACTAAGGTTTCTTCCCTGGGATGGCTGTGTTACCTTCATTGCTGTCCTGCAGTCAGAGACTGCTCCAACATCCTGCTTTTCCATTTCTTCATGGATTCTTTCTAGTGCTCATTGCTTCAGTGCTGAGTGAGTTCTTCAGGGTTATTAATTAATCTATCTTCTCAGCCACCTTTTCAGGTTCAGGGTTGAGGGTGGAGTTATCCCTCTTTAACAGGTGCGAAAAAGAGACAAAGAGAGATTTAGGTTGTAAGTACTTATTCATTTTGTTTTGAACATGTTTTGAACCAACCAGGATCTAAATTTTTCAGTGGTTTTGGCCCTATATAACACTTAATTTAATCAAACCCCAGATCCTCATGTCTGTAACTGCAGCTGCAAACTTTTAGCACTTCTGTAAAGCAGCTCTGGCAAATGAGGAAGACACGGCTGCTCCTGTGAAAGCTCTTGCTTATGTGGCTTACCGACTCATAGAGTAACTTCGAGGCAGGGGTAGACACAGACCCAGCTCTCCAGGGAGGCATCAACTGTCTACCAGGAGACCCTCCTTTCTTTCTGAAATCCCCTGCTTCACCAATTGCATAGGAGTTTCCCAGACCTGCTAAGAAAGGATGCAGCCTAGCTGACCAGCTCTTTGCTCCCTCAAGCCAAAGTCCAGTCTGGGTGCTGAAGAGGTGGCAATCCAGGTGGCAAAATGCAGGAAGTGATCATATACACAAGACAGCTGAAGCTAGGTTGCCCAGGCAAACCCATTTCTGGCAATTTCTAGCTCTTTGATACTTGGCTTTGCCAGTTTTAAGGGGGGGAGGGTTTGAATGCCATTAGTAATGCTTTCTTTGGTTCATATTTTAAAAGAAGGAAGCTATAGAAAGGAAATGCCAAATATGTTAGCTTTCCAGATTTGGACAACAAGCTCCAGGTAGCTGGGGTACATCTGACCCCACTGGAGGGGGAAAGCAAGCCTGGCTAGAGCTCTCAGCTGAAGGATTGTCAAGAGGTTGTCAGGGTCAGATTTCCAGCTGACACAGAAACTGGAGTTTCTGTATCAAGACACAGACTTACTAGAGTTCACCCCAGGCTATTTTGAAGAGGTGAACCACATTCTCCTGTCCTATACAAATAAACTGGTTGAGTAATTAGTTGAGCAACCTCTAATCTTCTCCTGGCAAGGACTTTGCAGCTCATGAGCAAGTACTCAGATGTGCACTTACAGGAGTCTCCAGGTTAGCAGATCCCAAACCCTGGTACAGTACATCTACTTAAGGCAAAAGTTTCTCTCACTGCTGCCTTCACAGGCCCTGTCTAGCTTCTGGGATCTTGTCAGAAATGGACCAGATCACCCAGCCACACTTGGGACACCGAAAAGGCTCAGCTGCCAGACGCCCCCCAGTCAACCAGGGTTCCTTTGCTTCCGCTGCCTGGGCTGAGCCCACCAGTTGAACTATCCAAGCGCATGGACGGGGTGTGCGGAGGGTGCAGATGTTGTCTGACAGTTTGACTCATCTCGGTGGCAGTCTCGTTCGGTGATGAGGGGGAAGGCCCAAAGAGGAAGGGCAGTGACCCGTTTAACCAGAAGTGCTGATCCACCCAGGGGTAGACTTACTGGTGTTGGTAAGTGGCTATGGCCCCAGCTTCCTTCATGCTGTCCAGCATGTGCATTTCCAGGCTACCAAAAGAGCAGGAGAGGCGCATGTGGCTGTCCAGCCCTGCCACAGTGGCAGCAGGACCCAACCCTGGGCCTCTGCTAGTGCTGCAGTGAATCCAACTGAAGCGACCAAGCAGTAAAAATTGTGCTCCCAGGGGATGACCACAGCCTGATGGAGGATTTGATGTTTACTGGGCATTGGTTGCACCCATGATGCATGGCATGGGGGCGGATGGTGAATGTGTTACTTGTCTCTTAAATTAATACATGATTCTTGAGCGTATTACATTGCTGTTCCATGATGCTATTCGGAGGAAAATGTTCTTCAATACCACCCTTCACCATAAAACATGTTCAAGACTCCCAAGGATTGAGTACGGCTTATTTAGGGCATGTTTGTACAGCTAGACTCCAAGACACCCACCTCAACAGAAGATGGCTGTGAACAACACTCATACCAGTACTGTGTTCCCACCCCAATGGGATCTGCTTCAATTTTGGATTACATGGATGTATACACTAGTTCTCCCTTCTGCCCACCCCATTTGGTGGGAACAAGTTTCTAAATACTTCAGCTCACGCAGTGTAGCTGGAGGAGGTGTTCAGCACAAGTAGCTGCACTGATGGGCGCACATGCAGTGAGCTTGTGCCCAGGCGTGTGTGAGGCTTGTACAAGCAGTCCTGGAGCACAGCATGTCGGAGGCAGCACAGGGGAGTGTGGAGTAGACAAGCTGTGAAGGTGAGGACAAGGGAGCTGTGCAGAAGGTACAATTGGTGCCTGTGCAAGTAGTGCTGATTGGCAGTACCACACTGGCAGAGTTATCAAAACACAAATATGTGTCCAAGCCCCATCAGCCCGGATGCTGCATTGGCGCACACTGGTGCACCCACGGCTCTCTCATGCTGCCAGCTCTCTGGGAGACAAGCCATCCCACAGCAGGCTGCCGGGGGAGGCAGCAGCAGGGCTGAGCCCCTGTCCCACACCTGGTCCATCCCCTGGAGCCCCTGCCCAACTCAGGGCTCTTCAATGCCTTTTTGAGAGAAACATGAGGAGGGAGGGAGGCTCATGGTCCAACACCCAAACACAAGGGAGGACCCATTTAGTGCTGGCTATTTCAGAGGGCTTATGAAGTCCCACAGGTTTCCTCAGGGGACTTAGAGCAGCAGAGGGAGGGATGGAGGGAGATGAACAGTTTCACATGACCATTAATCCTGTGCTTTCCACCCTCACACTTCAGTACCCTGGTAGGAGAGACAAGCTCCATAACCAGCCTCCTGGGGCGTGGCTACTTTTCCCACAGCTTTGGCAGTGGCTGCTAACACCAGTGCCCAGACACAGGTGACCTGCACCTCATCCCTGACAGTGCTTTGGAGGTGGGATGAGGGAGAAGTGCTGTACTCTAAGCCATGCCAGTGGTGCTGCTGCAAGGCCCTGACTTGAAGAGTCAGTCCTCCTGACATAAATAATACTGCCAACATCGGCTTCAAAGAGGGGACAGAAAAAAGATGGAAACTCCTTCCCGCCATTCTTTACCAAACTCCAAACTGGATGTCCAAGAATCATGCCATCTTCTATCTTATTTAAGCCAAACTTTTTAACTTCAGTTTTGGGTATCCTTGTTTTTCATGTCAATACCTGGTTCCTTGTGAGCCCTCTAAAACTGTTGGCCAAAAGGGCATCTTGTCCACCTGCACAAACCAGTTTGCTGGCTCTGTGAGAAGTATGTCAGTTTACCAGTCTGAAATGAGTTGTCTTTCCATTTCTTTGAACATCTTGTGAGGGGGTGAGCAAAGGAACAGACTTATCTCTGAGCCAGGCATTGCTCTGCACGTCTCTATCATATGGCATTTCACTAGTTTCCACTCTGAACTAGTGGGACTTTTAGTCCCCACATGGGGAAATTTTCCTGCAGCCCTAATTCAGGTCAGCACCTATCTTTGGATGTCTCCCAGTTTCACAGTGGGGCAGACAAAAGCAACCACAGCATGCCAGGGAAGCTTCCTCCCATGTACCATGGCATTACAGTTATAAAGGATGGATTTGCATCCCATTCCTCATGCAGCCTTCCTCCTTTCCCTGCTGCTGCACAGTGAGAGGGACCCATCAGGTAGTTCTATCCTGAATTTGGAGCATAGCCTTGTACCCATTGGCACTCTCATCTAAACCACCTAGGTGCCAGCTGGCACTTAGGCATGCTCCAGAGCATGGCTGGGAGAAATGCTAAGGTGCTGCTACCCCAGCATATGAATCCAGCTGCTGAGCAATGCCAGACTTTGTGACTGCAGCGGATGGTTGCTATCAGATGTAGAAATGTGCCCCAAAGTCCTGCCTGAATGAGGTTTCATCTCACATGCAAGTGGCCAGGTAGGGTACACTGGCAGTTTGCATTGCTCTTAAAACTTGTGCATGTGATCGAGTGACCTGAGGTGTCCAATAGACAGCAGAACAGATGTCTGCTTCCACAGCACAGACACAGAGAACACCTTGTGCCTGCAGCCAAGGGATTTTGTTTGAACCAGTGAGTTTGGTTCTGCCAGTCTGTTACACTGGCAGCATGGGGTGCCATCATCCTGCCTGGTCACACAGCAGTGCCAGCATGCACCAGCACCTATCAGCTACTCATCTATTATCTGCTAGCTGAAGCTGGTGAGCGAATCAGGTCACTTTGCTTGTAGGGAAAGTCTGCACAGAAGAAAAGGGATGCCTCACTCAGCAAATGTCTCTGCAATGCAGCAGTGCCTCTGTCTGGCACCCAGAGAGCTTGCCTCTGTCACAGAAGCCAGTAGCCCATGTACTGAGAGGCACTTGCTCATACCCACACATTAGCTCTAGCACAAACCCCCTCTTGCTAACTGGTCACCAGGTGTTCAGCATCACCTTGCAATGAGCTGTTAGTAGCCATTTTATCCTCAATCAGAAACTATTTGTTAGCCTGCCTAGTGACTTCACTGGATTTGGGAGCCTACAGGCCTGCAGCACAGCCTTGCTGCCCACTTCCTCCTGACAAATCCATGCGATTTCAGGACAAGCAGTTGCCCAGCAAATCCAACCAGCCCAGATGATGCTGCTGGAATTGGGGCTATGGCAATGCAGAGGCAGGAACTGCAGTGTCAGGAGTCAGGACTTCCCCTGACAGTGCCACAGATGACAACTCAGCAAATTCATTCTGCAGAAACTAGATAACATCAGTACAAGGTGGTGGTTACTGGCAAACGATCCTGTTCCTGAAGCTTCATCTGAGACGTGACAGGCAGCAGTGAAACCTCGTTGTCAAACAGTCTCAACCTCTGCTTTTGCTGAAACCTGTGCAAGCTTCTGGAAGTAGCTTCTTGTTGGTATTTCTTAGGAGGTCTAGGTTTGTAATTCTGGGAGCCAGGGTTGGAATGGGGCCTTTTTGTCTAGCAGAGTCCCTTGGGCTGGACAGGGATGCGGAGCTATCAGTCCTACCCACATCCTGCCTTGAATGGCAGGAGTTTTTCCTCCTCCACGGGGGCTAACCTTTCACCAAAACCCATGGCACCCTGCTCACACATTGTGCACAGACAGCAAGATACTGGGCTGGAGAACCAAGAGTCAGTCTGCACAGAAACATTCAGAACAGCTAAGCTGTATTAAATTTGGAAGTGATTGAAGTTCAGTAAACCCCTTGGCAGATGGTCTTAATCAGAATTAGAGCAGTCCTGATACAAGACAGGTCACTCCCTCCCCCCTGAGCAGGCTTTGCTCACAAAGAGCTTATCACCACAGGCCATCATACTCACTGCCCACTCTGCTAAATGCATCCCTGGTCTGGAGTCCACTTGAGTTGGTCACTCCACTTCAAAACACCAAACCAAAGTAAACCCATTTTAACGCAGCGGCAGGGCATCTGGAGGAGGGTTTTTCATCACCACACCAGCCCATCACTTTAGCTAATTGGGAATAACTTCTTGAGCACCAAATGAAGAGAAACGGCAAATCCCAGCCATGCTGTCCGAGGTGCCAGCCCTTCCCAGTGGTCCTGCCCAGCAAGAGCCAGGGAGACCTCCTGGCTGTAGGGAAGGATCTTTTCCTCAGATGGAAAGTGTTGGTGGCAGAGACACTGACAGCAAGTCCACTGCCAGTGGGTCCGGCTACACCTCCGACAGCACCTGCCCGGCCTGCCTCCATCACTCGGGTGGGAGATGACCCTGGCCACCCCACCAACTGCACAGTGTGTGGAGAATCATGCCCTTAATCAGAGACAGGTGACCCAGCCTGCTTTGCCCTCAGGGCAGTTTCCGGAGCCCAGCAGGAGCGTGGTGCCTCCATGCAGGCCCAGGGCTTGTACCTGTGTCCCACTGTCTCACACCCATGCTTCAGGCGCCAGCAACCAGTGATCACAAAAAGTGCACGAAGGCATGGGGAACCAAGTGGTACCTCCAGGCTCAGGGAAGCACTAGTAAGTTTTTCTCATTTCTCTGCAAATATCTTGGCAACATAGTTTTCCCTGGCTCCAGTCCTGCACTCAAGTCATGGGCCATGCTGGTGCCAGTACTGCTCAGCATGCATGGTAATCAAAGCAGTTTTCATGACTCTTGGTAAATATCAAAGCTGGGGATTTTGGGGGCTTATTTTACAGCAAGTTGAGTAGACGAACCAATAAGGACAAAGATAAATGAATACCTGTTGCCCTTGGCTCAAAATGAAACAAGAGAGGCAGGTCACTGGCAAAGGTTAGTTAATACCACTTACCACAGTGTCACGGAGTCACCCTTGGCCCCTGATGAGAAAGGCAGAGGAGGCAGTTTTTCAAATACAAAGTGAGAACAATACTGTGAAAAAACTGCAAAGTAATGGCCTCCAAGCATCCCTTGCCTGTAACCAGCTGCAGGCCAAGGGAGATGTTGGATGCCTTTGCTCCCAGGACAGCACACAGGAACTCTCACCTCCAAGGGGATGGGGGCAGCAGGTGGGGAGAGGCTGAGAGGAGGAGGAATGGAAGAGAGCTAACACAAAGCTTTGGGAGCATGATGCGCTGCTCAACCTCTTTGGTATGAGCTGATTGCAGAAGAGGGAGTAAAGAGCTGGCAAGACCAGGGACCCTTCTAGGGAAACTGAGTTCCTGCTGCCCATGGGCCCTGCCACTTCTCAGGGGTCCAGCAAGAAGAAGGGAGTCAGGCGTGCAGTGTGGAGCACCCACACCAACCTACTGTAGCTGGATCCTCAGCCCAACACACCTGCAGTGCCTCAGGCCTGGTGCTTTGAGGCAAAGTGGCACCTACCTTTCCCTGGGAGAGAGGAGGTAAGAGTGGCTTTGCAGAGGAAACTGGGGTAGTATGTGAAGGACACCAGGGAGCTGCGACAAGCATCTAAGCAATGGAAAAGTGATGGGGCTTACCTGCTTGGGATTCAGGAAAAATGTTGTACCACATCACCCTGGGGAGAGCTCTGGTCTGAACTAGCGAGTGTGGGAAGGAGCACAAGGGTTATGACCTGAATGTAGATCGCACAAAACAGGAGATAGGCATGTGCTAGGCGGGGCTGTTGGCACATCAGGAGTTCCTGCTGGTGGTCCTGGTTGTTGAGGCACCTCAGGTATCTCAAAGGCAGAGGGACCAGCAGGTGAAATGGCCGGGAAGCACCAATGTTGCTGAGTGGGCTTATGTCTGACAAGAACCATCTGACACCATGGGATGGCACCATGAACCGTAGAACGACAGAAAGGTCTGGGTTGGATGAGCTCTTTAAAGGTCATTTAGTTCCAACCCTCCCGCCGTGGCCAGGGACACCTTCCTCTAGACCAGGTTGCTCAGAGCTCCATCCAACCTGGCCATGAACACTTCCAGGTTGGGGCATCCACAACTCTGGGCAACTTGTTCCAGTGCCTCACCACCCTAATTTTAAAAAGTTCTTATATCCAATCCAAACCCTCTTCCAATGCAAAACTGTTGCCCCTTGTCCTGTCACAACAGGATCTGGTAAAGAGTCCCCTTCCAGCTTTCTTATAGGCCTTTTAGGTACTGGAAGGTCTCTACGGTCTCCCCAGAGCCTCCTCCCCTCCAGCCTGAACAGCCCCAGCTTCCGCGGTTTTTCCTCAAAGGAGAGGCGCTCCAGCCCTCTGCCCATTTCCGCGGAGCTGCTCTGGACCCGTTCTGACAGCTGCCCGCCGGGCCGAGAGCGGTCAGCACTCGGGGCGCTCTCCCAGGCCGCGGAGGATGCGGAGCGGGCGCTCCGAGACCCGCGCCCGGCCGTGTCCCAGCGGGAGCGGCGCCGGGGCCGCCCGCCCGGCCCGGCCCGGCCCCGCCCACCCCGCTGCTCCCGCGGCCGCGCGGCGCCTCCTGTCGGCGGTCCCGGCTCCCGCCCCTCCTCCCGCCCCGCCGGAGCGCACAGGCGGCCCTGCCCGCGCCCGGGGCAGCAGCGGGGCCGGGGGCAGCCTAAGGAGCACACGCGAGCGGGACACGGCGAGGCCACGAGAGCGGCTGGCATGGGGGCACAGGGAGAGGGAGAAGAACCGGCCGCGCGGCCGCTGCCCGGTGCCCAGGCGCTGGAGCACCCCGCCCGCCGACGGGCTCCTGCGTGCCTGTCTCCAGCCACTTCGTGTGTGGATTTGCGTGAGCACGAGCGAACCTCTGGCTGGAGCAGCCAGCGAGCGAGACGAGCTGTGTGCCAGCAGCGGCTGCCGAACTCAGGGCTCCCGCGCCCAGGGCCAGCAAGTGCGGCTCTGCCTACAGCCAACTACAGCCACCTACGGGAGGGATCCACGTGTGTGTCTGTGCGCCCATCAGCATGAGGGGTGCAGCCCGACGACAGGCTGGACCGGGAACGTGGGGCTGGCAGCAGCCCCACATCTATCAGGCTATCGGCTCCAGCACCACCGTCAGCGTACGAGATCCCATCAGCTCCGCCCGGTAGTGGCCCACAGCACACCTAACACAGGATGTGGTGGTGTGGAATGGCCAGGAGGTGCTTCCGGCCCTTTGAGAAGTGTCTGTTGACTTTTCCAAGCAAATCCACATTACCAGCCCTCGCAGTACCTTCCAGGCGGGAGGACACTGCCACAGGTACAGTCATTGCTATTTTGGTTTGGAAGCACGTTCTGGCATGCAGCAACATAGGATGTGACTGGCTGGGCCCGCTGCTCCTCCCCAGGCCCAGAAGATGCCCTGGTAAATGCATCAGCCTGAAAGGTGTTCAGCGGGACCACCTCTCCCATGGCAAAACTTGTAACTCTGCTAAGGTGGGGGCTGGGTTTCAAAAGGACACATGCTACCAGACTCAGGAACATCGAGTAGCCTGTCTCCTACAGCAACCAGGAGGGATTTGCAGCCCCCAGGACTACACAGAGATGGAGCCTTTTCCATTCAATACTCACAGGCTGTGGCTTAAAGGGGAAGAGGCCCAAACTCTCTACGTTAACTCCAATGGGTTATATCCTAACCAAGCCTCCTGAAAAGAAATGCCTTAAACTTCGCGTGGCAAACCCCTTGGTTTGCAGCAGAATGGAATGCAGGAGAAGGTTGTTTGGAGGACAGAATCATGGAGTTGTTTGGGTTAGAAGGGACCTTAAGGATCATCTCATTCGAACCCCTGGGCATTGCCAGGACTCAAATAGCTCCTGCCCAAGCCTTGGCTAAGCATTAAACTGATCCATTGCTCTTCAGCTGCTGCCTTTGCCACTGCTTCTAGCATGCTTGGTTTCAAAGGGCACCTTATATTTCTCATCCAAGCCAGCTGTTTTCATAGCAGAAATTTTTACTGCAGTGTGGCTATTTGCCAGAGAAGGGCCATTGTCTGCCTCCACAGCACTGCCACTGCTTCTGGAAGGTGTGTGACAGCTGACAAGCTCCCCAGGTGAGCAAAAAGCACAAGATGCCTGTGGCTGGATCTGATATTCTACAGGGAGCACCTGCTGACCACAAAAGAGGAAAGTGATACTTGCAGGAGTCTGGAAATTCATTACCATGTACACTTTGCAGAGGGAAATAAAGTCCTGAAGAGATAAGCAGGCCCAGCAGGTGCTCTGTGTCCTTTCAGCAGAGCTTGATGAGAGACAGAGGTATCCTGTTTTTTCAAAGTATGAAGATTGGCTCCTGACAGCAGCTGAGGAATGGGTCACATCTGAGCCACCTACTCCAGGGTCTGGGCAGAAGGAACAGCAGATGGACAGCTGCCCAGCTTCAACGGCTGGACAGCAGGCAGGGACAGCCAGGCCAGACACTGTTTTTCTCCACGAGCTTTGTTTCAGGTCCTGCCCTTGCTTATCCCTCTAGAGAACCTCAGCCAACAAGTTCTCCTAGGACAAAAACCTTGTCTCTAACAGATCTAACATGCTTCACGCTAAATAAGGCAGCTGGCAGCATTTTGTGAGGTCTCAAAGGAAGAAGTTATGGAATGGCAGAGGAAATCCAGGAAGAAAGTATGAAGAAGAGAAAGGACTAATGTCAGATATCCCCAGAGGTTAAGGATTAGAAAAGGAGGCTACAGAGAGAGAAACATGCACTAGAGAAGTAGTCATGCTTAAGGAAGACCTCCTCCCATGCTGTTGTCACCTTTAGGTCAAGCTCATCTTCTCAAACTGCTTCAGTGCTCCTGGCTGGAGCGTGCATCTGTACCGGATGATGAAAGTTTCTTTTCACTTGCAGTTTGCATCAAAACAGCCTCATCCACAATGGAAATGGGTTGGACACTAGGAGAAGACTGGGTGCACCACTGTTCCTCTGAGAGCCCTCAGTGATGCGCATATGTGAAGATGAGGTCTGCCCCAGTCCAGACCACTGCCTTCATACCTTTGAGTCAGGAACATACCCATAGTGTCAGGGCTTGGTTATTCATATGGGGATGCTGATTTTTCAGTTCTAGCACCTGAAGCACACCTGGCTGATTATCTCCTCAACCTCCACACTCCTGTGTTCAGCACCGGCCAAAGCCCAAGGCAAGATTTCAGGAGCTTTCCCAGCATGTCAGTTAGGGGCAAGGCTAGGACCTGGCAGAGACCCAAAGGAACTATTCTACACCTCCATCCATAAAGGGATCACGACCACAAAGACATCATGATAGCTCCCCCATCTCTTTCTCATCCCTGAAATGAGTTCAAATTGCTGTAACTGGGACTGAAACAAGAAGGACCAGGTAAGGATGAGATGGTCTCCCTCTGCCTTTCCAGCTGGCAAGCCATGCCTGCCTGTCCTCTTTGGTGCAGCACTGAGCTACTTCTTGCTTGACAACAGTCAGAGCTGCCTCCAAGGCTCCCAGCTTCTCTAGGGTGAATTCTCCCAGCCCACAAGTACTAACACAATCACCAAAAACAGCTCTGGGACCTGCTCCACCATGCCACTCAGCCAGGAATGCACCCAGTATGTTCAGCCCTGGCACATGCTGCCACAGTGCCGAGATCCGCCCAGAGCCCACCGTGGCCTGACCCAGACAGAGCTACGGGAGGACAGCATACGCAAACGTAACATTTACTGAGAGATACAGAACTGAATATTATGAAGGACATACATGGATGGAGAGGGTAGCGACACCACTGCAGAGGGCAGCTTGGACCCCCTTCCCAGCATGCCAGGAAAGGAGCTGGATGCTACCAGACAAGTGACAGAATGGAGATAACTGCGGCATATGTGTTTGTATCAAACAGACCATCATAACATACATTTCTATGGGATCACATCGAGTGATTATATAAATCCTTATAGAGATTGCTGTATAAAAACTTTGTAAAAAATACTTTAAAAAAGTGTAAAAATGTGCATTCAAAAGCACGGCCGACACGGACAGCTGGGCTGTAAACATTATACTGAGTGTGCTTGTGAGGGGCGCCTGCGCCACCAAGCCCCGACAGGCCTGCCCACCGGACGGGGCTGCATCAAGTGTTTGTGGTTCTTGGGTTTGGGTTTCCTGCTGGAGCATGCTCCAGGAGCAGCAGCAGCCTCTGGGCAGGGTGCCAGTGGGCACCGTGCAGCTGCCACTCCTCTGCCTGCCACCCCTGCTACCCACGGGGTGTGTGGTCCTTGCAGGACATGTGGCATCGTGGGTCCCCAGGGCTGTGAGCAGGCTGGAGGGCTGTGATGAGGTATCACAGGGAGGTTGCCCTCACTAGTGCCACTAGCCCTGCTCCCAGGTTCAGCCTCAGAGTACATGGTTGGCAGGTTCCTGATCTTCTCTGTTCCCATATTTGGTTCATAGTTCCCAAGGAAGCCCACTGGGTCCTCACTGGGTCTGCACCAGGTCTGGGTGCACAGTTCTTCATACAGTACATATATTAGAGACCCTGAAACACCCTGCGCCACTGTCTCCTCCTCCTGGCCCAGTGCCACCTTCACTTCTTTTCTAGCTGCTCCAGCAGCGGGTTAGCTTCGCTCTCGGGAGTCTTGATGCTGTCTGTCCGCACGATGCAGGTGGGACGGTGCCGATTTAGCATCAGGATCAGCTGCTGCCTCTCCTGTTTCAGCTCTTCTATCTGGGCCTTCAGTTCAGCATTCATGAGCTCTAGTCGCTCAGACTCCTAGCAGGACAGGAACACAACCACATGTGACTTTACTCCAGCGGGACGAGATACAAGGAGAAACAATTTGGCCAACAGGCCACCTCTGGTCAGTGCTGCCCCTCAGCCCTTTCAGCATGGGAGCAGACTGAAGACCTGCCAAGGCACCAGGTCCCTCCAGGCAGTTCATCCCCAGCCCTGCTGCCTTGTGCTACCTAGTGCCACTGCAGGGAAATACACAGCCACTGTCTGGGGCAGGTCTCTGCTGCACCACAGCA